CCCCCCTCGGTGCCCCCCTCGGTGCCCTCGGGGGAGGCGGCCCCGGTCCGGGCCTGGTGTCCCCCTGCGGGACGCCACCAGGTGGATTGGTTAAAAACCGATCCTTTTGGGAAAAAAAAAAAAAAACCACGGTTTGGTAGCGCAGAGAGCGTTTGTCGCGGTCTAGTGAGCGGCGTAAGCGGGGTGGAGTTTCATTTCCTCGGAGTTACAGCCTAAACTGTGGTGCTTGGCCGGTGGTTGCCCAGAGGAGGCTTAAATACAGCAGGAAACGAAACCTGCCACCCTGGAGGCAGCTGGCACCGTCTCGGGGCAAACGTCGCCGAGCGGAGTCACTGCAAAGGGTCGTTTTTGTTTCCCGTAGGTGTCCTGTGGCTTGGTCAGACGAGCATGTTTCGGATGTCCTCTCACTGAAGCGCGTTCTGGTCTGCTGCAGCGCACTAAAGGTAAGGAAAGGTTTAGCCGAGGCGTCCGCCCCGTTTCTGCCTTACTCCAGCCGTGACGTTTTCTGCGGGACTTTGGCACCTTTTCTGCAATACGAAGCCGCTTCCTCGTTCTGGTTTTCTCCAGACGTTTGCTTGAGGCCGTGCAGACCGCGAAGCTCTACAGCAGCCGCTGGCGCATCTGAAGAGGGTGTCTTACTCAAGTGGGGCCTTCTCCTTGTCCCTCTGACCACCTTCTGCCTTGGCACATGGCAGGTACAAATAAATATTTCGTTCTTCCATGAGAGAAGAGCTTAAGGGCTGTCTGGTGGTTCCATCCTCGGCTGTTTAATGTGAGCTAGTTCACACCACAGCCAGGGTAAAGATTGGAAGATACTTTTTCATATATAGTTTTCCTAGTTACCGTTTGTGAGTTTCATGTAAGTCTTTGAATGAGAGATTCATTTATTTTACTTTTATGTCAGTATTTCTTCTCTCCCCAAATGAAGTTAGTAGCCTCCATTTTTTGAATCTGCAATTATGTTGCTTTAGGCCACATCTGAAGAGAAAATACCGATAAAAGAAGCAGACTCTGTTTTCAGCCTTGCCAGGTTATTACACTGCTCTGTTCTACCAGTGGGAATTACTCTGTGTATTTCCAGGTTCAGCGACGAAAGTGGAAATTGGATTTGATTGCGCAGTTGGCGTCAAGAATTGCAGCAGAGCCCATCCCTCTGACATTAGAGTAAGGAAGCTGAGATGTTGCAGTTTGCTGTCTGCCAAGTACTGCCAGTGTGCTGGGGGTACTAGTTATGGTCCCTACGCTCTACAACATGTAGTCTATGTTAAACTAAACTGCATGCAAATGAAGAAATGCAATGGGAATCAGAATGCGCAAGCAAATTCACAGGATAGACAGTCGTGTTCGTTCTCTTGTTTCAAATGCATATTGCAAACACCTCCCTGTGGGATACTCTAAAGGCATCTAAAGGGGTCAAATCTCTGTTCTGGAGACTGTGGTATGTAATTCAGCCTGGAGAAAGAGGGTTTGGGAGTTGTTGCCCAAGATGTCCCAGAGGAGGGGGTTACTGAGCACCGCTGAAGAAAGATCGGTTGTTGCTGTACAGTATTCCTGCAGCAAGGGAGTCTTAGAACGATAGCAAGCTCTGCCCCAAGTGCAGAGCAGTTGGGTCAGATACAAGAGAGAGTTTTAAGGTCACTTTAGCCATATGGTACAACTGTCAACACAGTTCAGTAGTTCTATTTCACAGTCTGGGATGGGAAAGAAATGCTGCCTGTTGGCATGATGTACACGCAGTGTGTCACCTGCTGTCTCGCTGTGTGCATCGTGTGCATCACTGAAGTGGTATTCAGTTACAGATATCATGGAAAAGAGCTGTGCTCTAGATGCTCATGATCTTAGTGATTTGACTTACTATGATAGTAACAAAATCTTAAGCCAAGCTGCTTATACCAGGAGGTACTTGTCTTCTCTTTCTGTTTGCCAGCTGGACCTAGAGAAAATCATGGGGAGAAGGAGAATCCCATAATAAAATTCCCTGGTTTGATCTGTCTACCACAGCCGTGATTTTGTTTTCACCTTGTTCCATGCAGCCCTATGGAACTGAAAGAATTAGAGTACAGGCCTGTAAAGGTCCGAGGGCATTTTGACCACTCCAAGGAGCTCTATATTTTGCCACGGTCACTTGTGGACCCTGAACGAGAAGCGAGAGAAGCCGGACGGCTGACATCCAACCCAGAAAACGGAGCAAATGTAGTTACTCCTTTCTACTGCACAGACCTAGGGTAAGTGTGTTCATGCACAAGCCTGAGAACATGTGTATGTGTAGTTAATTAAAGTCATGCTTTATCCGAGCTGAATCTTAGTGGCTGGGTTTATGTGAAGCACTCACTGTCCTTTAAAAGGTCTCTGTCTCTCACAACCTGTTAAGTCGCAGAGGCTTGCTTCCAAGTTGTATCTGAAATCCCTTATAACGTGCACTCAAATGACAAAAAAGTGGCACCAAACATATGGGTTGCTTCTTTTTTTCGCTACCAAGCTCTAGGCAGCGGCAGGAATAATGAACAATTTCCTTTCTCTAATGAGCTGTATTTGTCCTCTTTATGTAACTCTAGCGTCACGATTTTAGTCAACCGAGGATTTGTGCCCAAAAAGAAATTGAAACCAGAGACCAGGCTAAAGGGACAGGTAAGAGGAACAGAGGGAAGCTTTCCCTATTACTTTCTACTCAGTGAATACCAAAAGAGACACTATTGGCAAAAAAAGGCAGTAGCCGCGTTCAGCATCATGGGAGGTTACTTAAATACAGAGTCATTGCACTTCTCAAAGAAAGTGCTTTTCCTCCCGCCTTTTTATTGAGTACATAAAGTGTTTTTACAAACAAGGACCGATCCTGATGTGCCTTTTTCCCTGCTGGGTCACAGCTCTGTCCTGCTCTATGGCACTACCAGTTGTTTTGTAACCAGACCCCACCGGCAACATGTTTTTCTACCAGGACATGGTATGCTGGAACGTGCAGTGAATGTGAAAAGATTCCTTCTTTTTGTCTCCTGCCCTTCTCTTCAGATTGAAGATGAAATTGATCTCACTGGGGTGGTGAGATTGTCAGAAACCCGGAAACCCTTTGTGCCTGAAAACAACATTGAAAAAAACCGTTGGCATTATCGTGACCTGGAGGCTATGGCAAAGGTGACTGGTGCTGAGCCCGTCTTTATTGATGCAGATTTCAGTAAGTCACAGAGGAACCTAACACCACGTCCAGTTTACATTGGTCTGCCCCTCACCTCTTCACTTCAGCTAGCTGTAAGGTTTACCTTAGGCATTTGGGGACAGATTGCACCGTTCTCTTCTCTTTGTGTATTCTGCCAAGGGTTACCGTTTTTGAAAGCGATGCCCAGCATTGGGGAATGGGAGCATGCTCTCAAGAGATGCAGTCCATTGCCCTGATTCACAGCAGGTGGTGTTTGATGGCTTGATCCCCAAACCAGACCCTTGCTATAGGGCCGACTGCCCCACAGCTTTGACTTTTACTGTTCGCTCAGGAACACCGTAGCCTAAGGAAGAAAAGTAGGGTACCAAGCAATTTACCACAGTTACTGTGTTTCTCACTGCGTACAGAAAGGACAGCTATTCGCAGTGCAGACTGTCCTTAAGATTTAATGTGTTGCATGTGTCGTACCTATAGGAAGCACAGTCCCAGGGGGGCCCATTGGAGGCCAGACAAGAGTGAGCCTGAGAAACGAGCACATGCAGTACATCATCACATGGTAAGTTACCCAGCCAGCATGTGAATGTCCTTCCAGTTGTTTTTCTAAACGTAGAGCTTTAGACTGCCTCCTGTTGAAAGCAAGTAATTTCCGCCTGGCATTCAGCTCCTGCCTCAGTGAGACTGAATGAGCCCTTAGCTGCCGACCTGGAATGTTAACCTAAGTAACGCTTGCAAGGCATTTTGAAGTAATTGTGCTTTGGCAAACTGCAGCCAACTTAGGGAGGTCCAGTGCCTCCTGAAAACAGGTGTAAATGTGTGGTTTTATTTTCTCTTGCAGGTATGGTTTATGTGCAGCAACTTCATTCATGTGGTACAGAAAATTTATACAAAAGATACCTCTGTGAGGGGAAACGCTAACTTCTACTCTTCTGTGGTACAGTCAAGGCCCATTTTTTTTCCAAGACTTTTTTTTTTTTTTTAAGAAAACAACAAATCAGTCCTGAAGAACTGAAGCATCCCAACTTCCGAAGCCACGCATTCAATAAACTCAAGCAGCTGCCAAACTGCAAACAGACTTTGAGCAACAGATGCAGATTTTGAGCTCTTATCAGCAACTCTGGCTGCAGCTTGGAAACATCCAGCTTCAAAATTGTACATGCCTGTTTGGACTGCTGCTTAAATCAGCTTCACTAGACAGTTCAAGGATACAGTTTTCCACTGCGGTTGAGCAATGGCTGTAAACTACAAAGCTTAAAACTTCTCCACTGCTGTATTTTCTATGAAGTTCAGTGTAAGCAAATGATGGTAAGAGATTTTATTAATCACAAAGTTCCTTTGTACTAACTACTCCTTCCTGAGGCCAGGAGAGTGATGCAGTGCAGGTGAATCAGAATAAAAAAAAAAGGCCTACAGGTGCTCGTCTTGTGACTTGCTTGTGCATCTTAGATTTCAACAGTGACAGACCTGGATTAAAGGATACTGTGGATGCTCACCTACTTAGGGTAAGGCAGCGTGTGGCTTTGCGAGTGCATGGTAAGGGTAACAGAAGCAACAAGCTGCCATCTCAGATGAGGCAAGAGCCTTACCAAGCACAGTAGCCTCTGACAATGGTGCAAGACCAAGTCAGCAGCCAGGGAAGAACACAAGGACAAGTATAGATTTAGATTCCTCCTCCACTACTTCAGCGTGCTTTCACTGAGAGTCTTGCAATGGAAGAGGCATTGCAGACCTCCTAATGAGAGGTGCTAATCTGTAGTCTGGTTAAGAGGCACTAGAGTACACTAGATGAACTGGTCTTTACAAAAGCCTCATTGTAGCTAAGCCCAGGTAATAAAGGAGATGGAGCTAGAGCCATTCTTAACTGAGAAATGTTTTCACAAGTGAGCTAGGATTTAAACCAAAGTTAGCCTAGCCCATTCAATTTCGTTATCACAAAGCATATACAAATGAGCTGCTGTTGATAGGCAGCTGATTGGTGTTCCAAGGAGAGGAATTACTACATAGAACTAGTCATTAAGGGTGTTGTTCCAACTGAGGTAATAACCTGTTTAACACAACTGTTTCTGTGCAGTGCTTTTCAATCATTTGACTGAAGGCACACAGAAAGCTTTTAAGTAGAAGTATGGCAACGCTAACACGCTACCAAATACAGCCCGAAACCCTCCCATTAACAGAGACCACTGAAACTTAATTTTGGGGTTTATTTTATGTACAGAAAACATGGCAGCAATCCAGTACATCTTTAACCCAGCTTGGTAGCCAGTTCTTTAGCCTTTGCTTTCTCAAGCTTGGCAATGCGAGCCACCGATTTTGGACCCAAGACGTTACCACCCCAGTGACGACGGATCTGGAAAGAAGGGAGAATGAAGTTAGATGCCTCATGCAATCTCTTAGAATATCATTCTGATCACTTGCAGAATTGCACTCTTTTATTGACAAGAGGAGTTGCTGCCATAGTTTGGAATTCCTACACGTTTAAAGCAGTGAACTACATTTTCCGGCAGCGCAGAGATACTACAGTTTAAAATCTCTCCCTGTATTCAGCCACCATGGAATTTCTATCACTTAGGGGGACAGGGGTTGAGTCTAGTGTAAATTCTTGTACTCTACTGCAATCCTAGCACTGTGTTAGCTCCACTTGTTCCTAACCTGGTGACAGTAGAATATCAAGGTGTTTGCCCTTTTACCCCACCCTCAGGTAAAGACTATAGATTCCATCATGCCCAACAGGCTTTAAGTTCATCTCACCAGGTTTGAAATAATTTGCATTTCATTGGGAAGCTAATGGGGATAAGTTAACAGTAGGAACTGCAAAAGGCAAGGGTAGCCACACACAGAATCTTACCTCATCGTATCTGTCGTTGTAGTTGGTCTTGACAGCCTCCACCAGCTTTGCCAGGGCTCCCTTATCCTCCCTGTTGGAGATAGCTTTAGTTCCTTCAGGGTACTCATATCACCGTTCCTCATTAATCTTTTGCCTTGGGATTAAAGAGCTCTTAAAAATCAACACCATTTTTCATGTTAAGCGCAAGCACCATTTGCAAAGGAGTAACTACTCAAACCATCAATGCTTTAAGAACTTGCACAACTATGATTACAGTTATAGTTTCATCTCAATATTCCAGTTAGAGTAGCCATCCATTCTAGTAAATTAAAGTAAACCACATCTCCAGGATACGACAGAGCTCTTCAAGACATCTACGTCAGACATTATACAGGTAATTCATGCCAATAGGTAGTTTAATCTCTGCTTAAAGGCAGCTTCCTTGCTCAACTACAGTGAATTAAGTCAGCACACAGAATACTTACGGGTTAACTTGGGTGAAGGCAACACAGGTACAGGTTTTCCTGTGGACCAGTCGCCCAAGTCTGGCTTTGCCCTTGATGATGCAGTATGGCACTCCCATCTTGCGGCACAGAGCCGGCAAGAAAACCACCAGCTGAAAAGAGAGAGTGCACTGCATCATTAAGGCAGGAACAACTTTTCATTCGTTAAATCCATCTAGGCTGTGGCAATTGCTCAGTGTTAAAAAGCTCGTTTTGCTCTTCATTGTGGATTCAGGTGAAGAAATTCATACATCATTGCAAGGGCCAAGCCTAATTTCAATAGCAGGACAATAGGTGTCCCTTTTTACAGGGAATAAACTTGCCCCAAAATGCATTTTACCCCAAGCCCAGTTCAGACCTTAGCTACAGTTAAGGCATATCCCTTCCATCTTATGAGCATACTACTGACTACCTGAAGTTATCTGCAGAGACGGACAACCTGGATCAGGCCCGGCTAGCCTGCAACACCTCCACTGAGTGTGCTTACCTCAATGGGGTCTACGTCATGGGCAATTACAACAAGTTGAGCTTTCTTGTTCTCTACCAGAGTTGTAACAGTGTTAACACCTGAAAAACAAATTACATTGAAAGGCTTTACTCCAGGTCAGTCTATTTTCAGAGCTTTCATATAAACCAGCTTAGATTCCATGGCGCGCTTCAATATGAGAACAGCAAAAGCTTTTCACATCCATTCAAGCAGCACAGAGGGGACATTCTGTGGACAATCTGCTAAAGCTCAGGGTTAAAAAGCTCGTCTATTTTGCTCTTCACTTTGAGCTCAGGTGAAGAAATTCATACATCATTGCAATAGCTTGTCCAATATCATTTGGTTGCAGCAGAGAGCCAGCTCTTCTAATTAGCTTTCTGTCTAACAAAGTCCCACATGCCCCTATACACAAGCAGACAAGTCCATGTACAAAGTTACCTGCTCGGAGGACTGGTGGCCTCTTAGTTGGAGCATCTCCCTTTCCTGCAGCTTTCTGCTCAGCACGAGCCAGTAGCCTCTGCTTCTTCTCTTGCTTAGTTTCAGGCCTGTACTTGTGCGCCAGCTTCAGAAGCTGCGTAGCTGGAACAGAATATGGACTTTACTCATGAGGTGCATGGCCCAAGAACCGCAGCGTTACTCTTTAAAGGACTGAAGCGCATCAGCGATCTCGGTGGTTGTCATCAAATGTATTTTGATAACAAATAACTAGCATCGTTTCCACAGTGCAAGAACAGAACTAGCAGAGTGCCTCTAGAGCCCGTATTTACCTCCATGTGCCCCTTTGCTGGCAATGAGAGCTCCTTCACTGTCTGGATGTGGAGATGCTTCCCCCCCCCCCCCCAGCAACTATAGGTAAAGCTGGTGCACCTTCTCTTTTAAAGCAAGCAACTTGTTTGGCAACATCTACAAGGGAATTACTCTACACAGGTGGGAAGTTTCTTGCACAGACACTGTCCCCTACAGTCAAGAGGCTATTGACTTGTTCTCAGAAGCCCTTAAGTCTCTTCTTCCCCTGTATCAATGTCAGCTTGCAGGATGCTGGCTACCCTCTAAAAGCCTGTGCTCACACAGAGCTTTTTCAGACTAGCCATTTACCCAGTTACCTAGAAGAATGGAGACCAGAACGTGCAGTTAGAACAATTTTGGATTATAAGTAGAAGGTGTGGTAGCGTCTAGTCCCTTTTCAAGGTACATAACAGTTAAGAAGATTTAATCCAGAAAATTCAGAAAAAGTTTTTCACGGAAGTGCAGCTTGCTGATCGTATCACCACAGTCACTGTTAAAGCCCTCTACATTGCCACCAGATACTCCAGCTTACGTCTGTTAAATCCCATTTTTATTTCCTTCCTCTCCTCTTGACGTGCATCCCAGTAAAACCTCAAGTCAAGAGGATTTTGGAAGGCACATCTTTACCTGTCTGGCGGTCCAAAGCCTGAGTGAACTGGTTAATTGCAGGAGGCACCTTCAGTCGTTTGTAAAGAATGGACCTCTGGCGCTGGAGTCTGATGTAGCGGGGCCATTTCACAAAACGTGTGAGATCACGCTTAGGCTGGATATCCTGTCCTAGAAATATAGACTTTTAACCCAAAGCAGTTCCAAAATCAAATAGAAATAGCATAGAAGAGAGAGGAGTGCATCAGCGATCTTGGTGGTTACATGTCAGCACTATCATTCAGATAGCAAATATTCTTTCACATCATCTGCACACATAGAAAAAGTTCTGTAAGAACTTGATTTAGTTGACCACACCATGGCCAACATAAAAGAGCAAGAACCATCACAATCCAATCAAATAACAAATCTTCGTACTATTCAAAAGCTAGCTAGTTGTCCACAGTTACCTTCACGCACCTGGTGAAGGAAAGATTCATCACTGCAACTAACTAGACAATTGCCTTTACCACTCTCTCTACCCTACAGCTTTCTTACGATATATGTCTATTTATAGACAAACATCTGTAAATTTTAAAACACAAAAAAATGTTTCAACAAGTGGAATGGCTCAACATCTGCCTACTCACCAATGCCAAAGTTCTTGGGCCTCTTCTCAAAGAGAGGATTGACAACCTTCTTGGCCTCCTGCTTCTTGACTACAGCAGGGGCAGGTGCCACCTTCTTGCCCTTGGCCTTCTTTCCTTTCGGCTGCAAAGAAGAACACCCGTCTTTCTTTCACCTCAAATGCTCGCAGACTTAAAAAGCCTTCACTCCACCTCAGTAACGCCCTTATGCAGGTACTGAATCCCAGCCTGGCCAGACGAGGCCTGGCTCTTCCACAGCGAGCAAAACCTCCAATTTCACTTAAAGACAGACCTCAACCCAAACAGCTTGTCGCTCTCGCCAGGTGGGCAGCCGTCACCAAGGAGCTGCAGGCACTCCCCAGCCCAGAGGGCCCCGAAACCGCACCGCGAGCGGCGGAGACACCCCCAACACGTACCGAGCCCTCGCAGCGGCCCGC